AGAAATATGGTTACTTGAAGCAATGAGGATTGAGTGCATTTTGGATTTAACAGGATCAAGGGGTGTGTTGTGGAGAAAGCTAATGCACCTAATAGCATTGACATCACATACAGGGAGCCAGGCGAATAGCTGTGCAGAACAATATGTTTCTGCAGATCAGCATACTCAAATCCTTTGGGAGGAGGATATGATGATCGTTTTTTATACCAACTTTGTGTTCTTTTTTGCAGGGATCGTTACTGTATCCATGTCCTACTATCTGCTACAAATTCATAAGGTGGTATTAGCATTTGATGCTCATTCCCTTGAAGGAGTACTAATAGTAGGCATAAGCATGGACGCATGTAAAACTCTGCCCAGAAAGTTGGTCGACAGGGAATTTTGGCAGTCGAATATGGGAACAATGGGTGCATTGTGTTGCAAAACACCAATACACCTTATTAGTTCTACATCCCAAGAATTATGCCAATCAATGGTTACCACAGATTACTACTGGAGATCACACGATCACATTAAACATGGGATATGCAAAAGAAAGCTGCCCAGAAGTTTGATCGATTTACTGCCTGACTTGGGCTTTTGGAACTCAAAATTGGGAGCACTGGATGCATTGTGGAACATCACCCTAATGCACATCATTACCTCTACATCCCAAGAATGGTGCCAACCATTGACATCAACAGGTTGCTGCTGGAGATCACACGACTACCTGCTCAAACAGTGTATGCTCACACATGCTCGAAAAAGCTGGAACTCAGTCTCATTGAGGAGCGAGTATAGCTGTACCAGAAACTATGCGAATGCAGTTGCATTACTGGATACTAGACATCATGACAATCAAATAATACTATGGGATAGGATTGGCAGAGGTAAGGATAGCCACGATATATCTCTGGAAAGACAAGGGCGTTCCAAGACAGTAGGTTTTGCAATAGAATTTGCTACAGATTATGTGGATGATCGTAGGAGTTACACACTTGAGGAAGATGCAGATGCAGATTTGGAAATCAATTTGGAAGATTCACTACTGGTTTCATTAAGTTCACAGTTGACACAACAATGGGAAGATGGTCAAAATTGCAAGAAAAGGAGGATACATATGGCCTCAATTGTGAAGATTTAGCATGGCTAGTTTTTATAAATCAGTTTCACTACTTTATTAGCCTACTTAGGAATTATATAGTCGTCAAAGTTTATTTCTTTCATCTTGTAAGACCTCATGACACTTTGTTTTATTTTGAGTTTTATATATATAAAAACTAGCCCTAGGAACCTTGCCTAGTGGATTTACTAAAAAAAAAAAGGAAAAGCAGATACACACATATAACCCGAGTCCGGAACCAAAATGTGGTTCTTTTGGATTCAAAGAATCAAAATGTGTGGGGAAAAAAACTGGTGACCAAAATATATATAAGCCTTAGCTAAAGGCGCTATACCTTAACGGCCGTTTGCCCAGTTAAGTGTAGCGCTCTTATATAAGGCGTTATATATATAAAGCTTTAGGGTACCGCACTATATATATTATATGGGCCAACTAATAATTCTTCTGGGCTTAACTGACATAACAATAATTCAACTGGGTATAGCGCCTTAAGCTAAGGCGCTATACCTCAAATAATTGTACCCCCCAGATTGTTTTTTGCCTTATTTAAAGAGGTTAATGATTTGTAAAAATCCATTCATAAATATTTTCAAGTCTTCTGAAATATTTTTTCGTTATGTTTTTTTGCATTTTGTCATAATGTCTGAAGAGCAAAGAATTAAGGTTTCATTATATTGGGGTGAGGGGGGTGAGGTTGGGGTGGCGAATAACTCAGTAAGCTATAGTAGTTATCTCCACAGTGTCATGTTAAGTTGCCACTTACAATGTAGTACGATAGATTGGTATCGTTGTTATGTAATAAAATGAATGTGATTCGGTGAATATTAAAGTGATCGGAAGATATCCCTATTATGTGACTCCCCAAGGGGTTGCTTGTTATGCTGAGTTTAACATCAAAGACGATGAAACTCTAAGAGATTTTTTGAGGACTCCGGATGAATACCAGGAATTTTTTGTGATAAAACCGTTGGAAATGTACGTAAAGGCTGAAGACGTTCGCAATAATGATGTTTCGCAAAGTAGGGATATCCCTTATTCATCAGGTGGTTATTTTGGAGCAGTTTTAGCCGAACATGTTCCGAGTGAAAGAGTTTGGCCTGATCTAAACTTATCTTCACGGGCGAATGAGGAGCGAGGAAATAATTTCTCCCCCAGTTTACATAATCCACAAGTCGAGTGATAAACTTCAATTTTCGGTTGGTGTTACAATGTTTATTTTTGGGTATTGAATTTGTATTAACATTCATATATTCCATAGGGGATACCGGCCAGATATGAATTTTACAAGTTATGAACCATCGGCCAGTTGGAATATGCCTAATTTTGGTGTGTTGAATCATGGTGTTCCATCCGGGAGTCATCATCAATAGGATAATATGGATAATGGGATATCAACATATTATGATTTGTAAGTGAAGTGATAAAGTTTATATATAAAGTTTGGATCAATTTGAAGTAGGCTCCACTCGACTTTTTTTGAGTTAAAAATAGTAGGGGGGGACCGTTCTGTTTGCCGGGGAAGGGGAAGGAGACGACTATTTATGTTAGTATAGCGCCTTAACAAAAGGCGTTATACTATATCGCCTTTTTAGGGCGCTATACTTTCCGGTCTGTTGAGTTCAAATATAACGCCTTAGCTAAAGCCGTTAAGGTATAACGCCTTTAGCTAAGGCTTTATATATATTTTGGTCGCCAGTTTTTTCCCCCCCACATATTTTGGTTTTTAAGTCCAAAAGAATCACATTTTGGTTCCGGACTCAATATAACCCTAATTAACCAAATCCCATTTACCCATTTCCTAATTACCCCTTCCGAGTTCCAACCAGCTGCAAACATTAATTAATAAAATGAGAAAAGCAAAACAAAAATTTGTTGAAGTAATTAGGCGGGAAAAATTTCAAGCTGTCCAAAGGACTCTCATTTTAGGGCTTGAACTTTTCAAAAAATAGTTGCTGTTTCGTTGTTTCAAATCACAATGAATACTATTTCTTTGAATTTGGAGGATCCAATTCGGGACGCAATTTCAAGGATCCGATTCGGCCCGCATTCCAACAACCTGCTAATTTCTTCTTGGGATTCAGTAAGTGTAAAACCCCATTCCTTTGTGTATTCACAAAGTGTTTGTATGTACGATTCAAGTTCATTTGGATACAGTAGCAAATTCGCCTCTATTTTAAAGTAGTCGGTTTCGGCTATATTATCCTCAGTTCCATTCCCTCCATTTGGGCCTTTTAATTTTAATGTTCAATAATTTGTTTTTTATTTAGATAAATTAGGAGTTTAGGGTTTCTTCATCTTCTACTGTCTCTAAATTCTATTTCATTCACATGTAACACAAAAATTGTTTTGCAGAGTCTCCGATTGTATGATTTAGATAGCTCTAAGCTTCGAATGGAAGCTCCCGGGAAAGCTGCTCTCCTCGATTGCTGTTTCGAGAATGAGAATGTGTGCCTTAGTGCTGCTTCTGATGGTTCAGTTTACAGGTTTTTACTCCTGCTTTATGATAATCTAATAAAGTCCCCTCCTACCTTGTAGTAGGTGCATAGTGCACGAGTACGCCCGTTCATTTAGGGGCCGACTTAGTGCACAAGTTATGTGTTCATCTGAATCCAATAGCTTTGGCTCATAACATGTGTATGTGTTAAAAACCACTAAATAAGTACAAATAGTAATAGATATTAAGCCCAGTATTTCAAACAAGCTTGATGGGCTTAGGTACCCCGTACCTGTGCTGGTGGGAGGTAGCAAGTACCTTATGGAATAGTTGAGGTGTGCACAAGCTGTCCCATACACCATCATTGTCATAAAAAATAAAAGAAAAATAAATGGTCCATGATAGAATTTCGAACTCGGGCCCATAAAGTTCAAATCTTGGATCCGCTCTGCTTTTATTCCATATTGCATGGACAAAAACAGAAAGCTTTCATGTTAGAAATGAAAAGGAAAAAGAAAAGAAGAAGCTTATGTGTTGAGCTTAGAGCTAGAAACAGTTTTTTCTCATGTTCTGGGTACATTCTCTGGGGAATGCATTGAATTTGTTATCACTCTACACATGATGGTCCCTTTTGGGTTGTTCTTCTTCCTAGGTATGATTTGGATTCGGGGGTTAAAGTCTCAGTGGGAATTCATGATGATGTAGCAACCTGTGTTGAGTATTCTCCTACGACATGTAAGATATTGGTACCTCTATAATTTCAGTATGGTGACTTCTTAACATTTTCATTAAATATTGCCTTGGAGAAACACACAACACATAATATTCAAAGCAAAAGCAATGATCCTAACAATGTTTAGGTATTTGTAACTGTCAAAGCTAATGGATTTTCCATAAGCTTATTATGGTACTAAGCAGAAGAATTCTATTTGCATAATTCCTAAAGTTGAGGATCCATTAATCAGTATCTTAGATGGAAACTTGATTTATTTGGATATATGTTCAACATCATGTGGCAAATGGAAAGGACCAAACTTCACTGATTTGCTCCCAACTTTATTGCTCTGAACGTATAAATTTATCGACTCAATTTTCTCTCCTTAAATTCCTTTTTCATTGGTGTAAGGAGAGGACTGTAGAAGACTTCCAAGATGTCTTAGACTTTTTAGATTCATTGAGATGAGGGTGCTTAGTTGCTATATAGTGACCTCTGTACTGTTGTAATTTTGTATTTTGCAGTACCATTTTGTGGTACTTGCCATAATAATATTTACTTATCTTATTAAAAAAATAATTGCAGGTCAAATAATTTCTGCTGGTTGGGATAGAAAGATAAATTTTTGGGATGCTCGTTCAGCCCAATCTCATGGCTGCTTGAACAGCTTAGCTTCAGAGGTGGAGTCAATTTCACTATCTGGGTTCAGTTTGATGGTTGCTGCTGGCTCCTCAGTTGATATATATGACCTACGAAGTTTTAAGAAATCAGTTCACACGAAAGGCGTCAAAGTAAAATGTGTACGGCCAATTTTTAATCCTAAAGGTACTCTTACCAAAATTCTTATATCAACTTCCTTGTGCTTCCAAGGCCCCCATCACACCCCTTCACCCCATTGAAAGAAAAAAGCAAAGAGAAAAAGAGAAAATACAAAAAGTTTAAGGATCTTCGTGAAAGTTGAACAAATGGTTCTATTAGAAGAACTCTATTATGCATGTATGTATTTCACTACAGATGGTGTTGTCCAGGACTTACTTGTGGCATGCTTAAGCCTTGAAACTGTGTGCAGAGTAGGTTGTGCACTTTGCCCCACTAAAGTGGCGCTTCACTGTAGTGTGTATGTTTATCATTCCCTTCTATTACGCCTTTCTCCATTAAAGCCCACACTTGTTAGCGCTTTGAGCTTAAAGTCCAATAGACTTCTATGCTTATTTCTTTTCTTTTGTTTTTGCCTTTGATAACACTGACTGCAGAAGGATATAATTATCTGGGGTTTTCAGTTTTTCGTATTATCCATCTTATATTGGCTAGATAACTGGCATAAATATTTTTCCATCACATGTTTCTTTCTCATGCTTATATTTGTAGGATTTATTGTTGGATCAGTTGATGGGCGAGTTCTTCTGGAGTACATCTGCAGATCCAGCTCAGACGAGGGGTCAGTAAAAGTTTGTCTTACTTTCTTTATGTTTGAAAAGATGAAAGTTTGTAGTACATCAGACTACTGTATGGTGATTCTGGCCAGATTACTCAAACAATGCTAGGCACAGTTTAGGTTCAACTGTAAGTAGTCGAGTTCATATATCAGGTCAGCATTAGCTGATATTTTTCGGAAGATGGTGTCTACCTGGCTTTCAAATGCATGGTGTAAAAAAACTAAAAGAGCAAAGAGCTGCTTGGCATTCACCTGACATCATAAATTCGCTTCTGCTTATTTTGCTTATATGTTTGTAAGAACACTGGTCCAACTTTCCAATTGCTGTTTCACTTGCTAACATNTATTGCTCGAGGAAGGAAACGGGCATTTGAAGTACTCTTGTTTATTTGTCAATCAGATGTTGAATAAGTTTCGCAAAAATTGATAATATAGTTATAATTGCAGTTTTGATATCAGTTGGTTGAAGTCATAGTTTTGAAAGAAATCTTGTGCTTGTAGAGATCAGTGAACAAATCTCTTGTATTACATGAGTTACATGCCGAAGTATAATTTTTCAGTTTCCCAATCAAAATGAAAAACGTAGAATGTCCATTGCTGTCACACATACACGTTCTGCTTTAACTACTGTTTCTGTTTATTCCTTTTGGAGATTTGCTGCATCTCTTTTTGCTTGTTTCAACCAATTGATGGATCTCAGTCTATTTGTTCGGTCTTTTTTTTTTTAAGATGCCAAGGTATCCCAAGAGTGTTGTCTCTCTATCATATAGCCATGATGGATTGCTTTTAGCCGTTGCATCCAGTTATGCATACCAAGAAGCTAATGAAATGTAAGACAAACTTCTTTAATCATTTTCTTATAGTGGGTTGGGTGTGTTCTTGGTCACTCTCACTTACATAACCCCTTTAAAATATTCAATTGCCTTTGACAGAGAAGAGCCACCTCAGATATTTATACATGAAATGGGGAACTTTTATCTCACGTCGCCTTCTTCTGGAGCTTCAAAGTACAAATGACTGCAAATACACATCTCAGATTCTGGTTGTTGCTTCTGTTTCCTTTATACAAGTCATCTTGTTTACTTGATGCAGTAGTTATCACTTATCAATCCTTAATAATATATGGTTGCTGATAAAAAGATTTGCTTTCCCTCATTATTCTCTAGTTCAAGCTACAACTCTTATACAGTAATTTTTGCTGGTACCTGTGCACGAATTGGCTTTTCCTGGCTCGCGTTCCCTGATGTCTATTTTGACTCTTACCAAGATTAGAAGGAAAGTGCTCAACAGAAAATTGGATACCAGAATGTAGAATTTTCACTCATGTATTAATGTCTACTAACAAAGTGTTTGCTCCAAGTGGAATATATTTCGGAGTTGTATTTTTCATCAACTGTGAAAGAATGTGTTTCTTGAGAAATCGTATTTTATGTTCTTTTGCTTGGTTGAGGTTATAGCAAATGTTTTTCTTCTTTAGGTTATACATCCAAAGGAAAACCCCGAGTTTGGAGTAGTTATTAAATTAAAGGCCTTTTTTCCTTTTATTCTTTCTTCAAAATTGTCACTACTGTAATTTGATTATTTTTTTAAGTTATATTACCTGCAAAATGTTAGTTATTTCGGACCTGAGGAAATACGACAGTTTTTTAAATTTTGTAATTTTTTATTTTTTCCTTAGCTATGAGTTCTTTCACTTGGGAGTTGGAATATTGCAATCCCTGGAAACTGAAGAGCCTTTTGTGAGTTGAGTATTCATCTGAAACATGTAAGAATGTCCGTAATTTCTGAATATTGAATATGGTGACCTCTTAACATATTCTAAAAAATGTTGCCCTGCAGAGAAACACACAAATCATACTATTCAGAGCAATGATTGTAATTTCTAACGATGTTTGGTAGTTGTAGACATATTCAACAGCTAATGGATTTTCAATAAGCTAATTGTTGTACTAAGCACAAGATGATTAAACCATTTCCGAATGTCAGTTATAAAGACGGTTGCTTCTAGCAACTATTCGCAGGTCTGCAAAGTTGACTTGGAGTTATAAAGCTTCAGACAAGAACCGCATTGCAGGAAGGGCAAACCATAGCAACATAAATATAAAATACTAATACTACTAAGAAAGGTTGCCCCTGGGGCTTTGATCTAGTAGTAAGAGTGCAACACGTGATGTGTGGGTTAGATGCATGTCACAAGTTCAAAGTTTGGTATTTAAGTGGAGAATAGTAGAAGGACGGACCCATTATCTAATTTTTGTATTTTTTTAATTTAAAAAAAAGAAATCTATCTATAATTAAAAGCAGGGGATAAAAGCCCCTCATTAAGCCAAGTGTCATAATGCAAGCATGACACATGTCACATTCGGACAAGACTCCTACATATTAGGAATAAACTAACGAAGTACAATCTTAATTACATTAGGTATTTTCGATAGAACTTATTTACTCAAATTTTTTTTTGCAAAATTCTTCTAAAACCGCCGGTAAAGATTGTCTTCGAATTAATTAATTTAAATTTGTTTAAAATCATTAAATGAATGATTTTTTGCATTTATTCCAAAACCGCCGCTGAAGATTCCCTGAGTTTATTTATTAATTTAAATTTGTTTAACAAGCCTTAATTGAACGTGGGTAAAACAATTTGTTTAACAAACATTAATTGAATAACAACATTAATTGAACATGGGTAAAACAAAAAAACCGTTCAAACTTCCAGTAATATATCTAAATTAAATTTATTTTAATTATTTTTAAACAAACGTGACCGGAATCGTTTTACTCCACAAAATTTGGTAAACAAATTTTAACTTCAATTAACCCTAAATTTTATCTGCAAAGTCACGTTTTCTCTCTGCAAAGTCACCTTATTTTGAACTGTCAAACCCACGATTTACTATATTGGGTATCAACTGCTCAAAGCTCAAAATATATATTTCTTCCACATGTACAACTGCTTCAATTCTAATGTTCGTTCTTCTACCAAGATTTCAACAAAAATTACGAATTACCCAAAAGATGGCCGCTAACAATGATTTCATCAAGGATATAACTATATCAAAGATGCAATGGAAGTTGAAAGTTCGCGTTGTCCGTATGTGGGAAAAACCGGATCGTTTTAATCCTGGCTCTATATTCTCCATTGAATTGGTTCTACAAGATGAAAAGGTATTTTTATTATGTTATTGGCTTGCTAATTCCTTTCTGCTATTCGAAATTTAAATGTCAATATCCATAGATTTGTTTTGCTCTTTCAGATTTAAATGTCAATATCCAAACATTTGTTTTGCTTTTCCAGATTTTTATAGGAATAATTTAAATGTCAATATCCAAACATTTGTTTTGCTTTTCCAGATTTTTAGATTTCGCTTAGTTCGAACTGTAAAACAAGTTTATTACCAATGCTCAGCTTTATATCCTGTATACATGTGGATAATTTGTAGTTGTTGTTTCTACATTACTAGAAACAGGTGATTTTCTTAAGCATGTTTTATAAACATTTGCATGACTTGCACATCCGCTTTTTTGTATTTTTTATAAACATTTACATGACTTGCAAATCTGTTTTTTTTTGTGGAATTAGTGTCACTAATTAAATTGTTTAACTCTACTGTTTAAAACTAAAGCTAATATAAATACTAAACTATACAGATTTGTAATATCTTTCCTTTATTGTAACTTCTTTGTAGGGCGATCATATACATGCTTCTATTGGCAAGTCTGTTTTGCATATTTTCAACAAAAAAATTAATGAGCTTGGATTATATCTTATGGCGAACTTTATCGTCTGCCAAAACAAGGAGAGGTTCAACACCACAAAACATAGATTGATGCTGACGTTTACTCAACGGACAACAGTGGCTGAAACAATTGATCCACTTTTTCCTATGAATATCTTTGAGCTACGACCATATCATCAATTGATAAATAAAGGTGATGTCAACGAGAGTGAATTATTTGGTAATATTTGTGTTTATTTTAATTAATTTTTACATATTTTTTTTAATAGATTGTTGCTAATTTTTTTTACATCTTTAATATTCTTTANGCAGCAAGAAATCAGAAAAAGAATGTTTAAGAAGAAGTTCTTCATAAAACTCAGTATCACAATCTTCAACTCAAACAGAATTCTCAAAAGGATTTCCCTCTCAATATCCTTTTCGATTTCTTGCCTGATCGCGTATTTGCATGCGCGTTGACATATTTAAGTAATGTCTGCTCCACTGTATCCTTATTTTAACTTTGCTAGATGTCTCGAGTCTACATTGCTAGAAACAGGTGATTTTCTTAAGCATGTTTTATAAACATTTGCATGACTTGCAAATCTACATTTTTTGTATTTTTTATAAACATTTACATGACTTGCAAATCTGTTTTTTTTGTGGAATTAGTGTCACTAATTAAATTGTTTAACTCTACTGTTTAAAACTAAAGCTAATATAAATACTAAACTATACAGATTTGTAATATCTTTCCTTTATTGTAACTTCTTTGTAGGGCGATCATATACATGCTTCTATTGGCAAGTCTGTTTTGCATATTTTCAACAAAAAAATTAATGAGCTTGGATTATATCTTATGGCGAACTTTATCGTCTGCCAAAACAAGGAGAGGTTCAACACCACAAAACATAGATTGATGCTGACGTTTACTCAACGGACAACAGTGGCTGAAACAATTGATCCACTTTTTCCAATGAATATCTTTGAGCTACGACCATATCATCAATTGATAAATAAAGGTGATGTCAACGAGAGTGAATTATTTGGTAATATTTGTGTTTATTTTAATTAATTTTTACATATTTTTTTTAATAGATTGTTGCTAATTTTTTTTACATCTTTAATATTCTTTAGATGTTATCGGAGAAATTGTCAATTTTAGTGAGGTACAA